CCACTACACCCTGATCTTTCGTTTTGTCGTTCCCAGCCATCCACACGCTCCTCATTTCGACAGCTGCCCTCCCGCAATAACATTTATAAAAATCCCCTTGTATCCTACCTGGCCCGAGTACTTATCAAAAAGGAACAGGTATCAAATGAACTACGTCAAATGCTTTGTACATAAAACAAATATCACCGACATTCTTTACCTTTTGTTTTTATTATTTTTATTTCATTCTGCGTGACGAACAGTGTACAATTTTAATTGGAATGCAAGCATACGTGCTTACACAAGTTACAAATACGATACAAAACAATACCCACCCTATATCAGATATATATATATATATATCATATTCCTGCATGTGGCATTCAATATTGCGAGTCTGTAACAACCTAGATGTCACATATAGGTAACGGTGCATTACCTGGTCATTTTGGAGGTTTAACTGCTAAACCGAAGGACCGTTAGGTGATTCTATCATCCAGGGGACTTGGTGAAATGCAAAACTCATTTAAGTTGGATTATTTTGTAGTATATCCATCATGGAATGAAACACATAGTACAGAAAATAAAAGTTAAAAATGGCTACTGTAAGTCACAGAGTAAATCAGGAATACTGGCCAGTTACTATTTTTTTTAATCAACATAGTCTGAGTTTTGCTGCTTCCATAGGAAAATAATAAAACACTTTTTTGCTTCGACATGGAAACGATTCAAAGTAGAACAACTGGATTGGAATCAAAGGAGATGATGTTGTAATAGTTGAAATACGCACAGATCACGGATCACAAATCACGTACTAGGAATCACGGACGCCACAGAAGCATTGAATCACATTGGCATTTGCACTACAGTATCCCACTAAACCGAGACCCAAGGAAAAAGCCACAGGAGTAGCCGTTCGTTTATTGGAAGAGATCAAAGAGATTAAATAACATGCCCAACGGAAGTTAATTGGTTATCCAATCATCTACCAATCGCGTGCTCGTATTCTTGGCGTTGTACAGCTTCTGCCTGAGCGGCTAGGCTTTTGATTGGTCGGCACAATTGGTTTATGTTTTGTAGTCTATAAATGGTAACACGTAGGCACTTTACTGGCGTAATCGAGGAATCTTGACTCATCACAATTGTCCGAAAACTGTAACGTCTCACCCCGTGTTTCGCGTTATCCGGTAAGCTAGGATCATCACTGAGTTGAAGGGTAAGGTCTCCTGGGTTTGTCTTAGAGTGTGCTATTTGACTTAGTTCATAATGTTCTTCTTTAGCTTATAACGATTCACTAAAGCATTCAACCAGCACACAAGTCGTTGGACATGTTCAGCGCTAGGATACTATGTGTGTATGTTTAGAGTCCACCGCGTAATCGAATCATTGAGCATTTACCACATATACGTTCCTTATGAAGCTAAGTATTCGGTTTGGGACTCCAGACAGATCCTGATTCAAATGAGCTTCAAGTAATCGCAAATGTGGGAATGAAAAACATTACAATTGACGGGTTTCATAGGGGAATTCGTCCTAGCTTTTCAGTTCACGTTTTATTTGCTCTATACACGGCGAATTCCCTCTATGAAATGAAACCTTAACGGTTCTCTGCCCCGTATATTAGTGCATGGTAAGAATCGTTGGACCAATAGGTCCAAATCCATTGTTTGGCTAGCTTCCGTATTCGCGAGGCTGAGGAGGGCGGTGGTGGCCCGATGGTAACGTCACCAAATTATCACCTCGGGGATGTGTGTTCGAATCCCACCACCACCGCCTGAATTTCCCCTTTGTGTGTTGAACGGCAGCCCTCTGATTGGCCGCTTCCCCCTTCCTGAAAAATTGTTGTATCTTTGTAATTTCAATGAAAGGAAGTAAAATGAAGAGAAAAAGAAAGAAAGAATCAAATGCTCCATTACCGTCATGCAACTGGTAGATTGTCTCTTGTTTCTGTTTACCTCAAGGTCAAACGTACCGGACACTGTGGAACAGGAAGTTCGCATGCATGTTCGTCGTCTGCACTCGCATCCGTCCATTGTGATTTGGGCCACAGACAACGAGGTCAAGCAAGCTATCAATGATGGTTGGTACAAAAAGCCCAGAGACAGAATTCTAATGGACAACTTCAAAAAACTGTTTGTGGACTCCGTAAAAGAAGCAGTTCAGAAAGAGGAAGGACCAAAACGGATGGACCTAGTCCTAGCAAGAGAGGGCACAAATTCACATGAACCGCGTCGTTGTTTAATTTCATCACCAAGCAACGGACGGTTGACTGAAGAGCTCGAAGGTTTGGATCTTCATCCCCAAGTAAGCTACGAATTGATTTTTCCCTGTGTTCTAAACGTTTTATCGGGCATTGATCACGTGCTTTTTTACGTCATCGTCTGTTGGTAGAAGGATTATTATGACTATTATTATGATTTATTATTACAGAGAGAGAGTGAGAACTTCGTATGTGATGCATTCCCTTTGTCAACTGGTACGAAGCAGCCAGGCAATCTACAGTACAGGCCGATTGTGTTGCACTGATTTTTTCTTTCTGATCAAATTGAGCTTCCTTATATTGATCAGCTATATTAATGCTTTAGGTATGGAAAATAATTTATCTCTTGTCCTCTTCGATCTAGATAGTTTCTGGGCTGCATGATTGTCACTTAAAAGTGCCTGACTTTGGTTACCAAGTTTAGACAATCTCAACATGAAAATCGCAAATTTTATCAAGTATGAAAATGTAATATATTCTAAGAGAGTGACTCAATAATTATTCCAAATTATTTCCATAAACCCTTGCCATCTCGGCTATTTGTTATGAAAGAGTTTCTCATCTGTCGATATTACTCATCTGGACAGAGAGAAAACATGGTCAACCCTGTCGGTGGACATCAGTCGAAGGCAACATGATTAGTGGGAAATTCGTATCGGTAATGAAGTATATGTTTCTAGAATTTCATGAAACAGTCGTCCGGAAAAATTATCGTTTTTCAGGATAACGCTCCATGTTTCACGAGAGGTTAGTTAGTAAATTTATTTAGTTGAGGAGACTGCTTCACTTATTATTTGCTTTTAGACTTCAGAAAAGTTGTGTGACTCTAAGGCTCAGTTCATGCACCTTCCTCCTAATAGCTCGGATATCAATGTGATTGAAAATCTGTTTTCTGTTTTGAAGAGAGAAGTCAATGTACTACCTGTACATTGGACTTTAGAGGCAAAAGTCCGATACGTAATGAAGCACAAAATAGAAAATAACTTCGTAACAAAGTTGGTGGATTCGATGGCGAAGAGACTCGAAAAAGTCCTAAAGAACAAAGGCAGACCAATCGATTATTAGTGTGCACAAACTTTACATATTAATTATTATCGAGATTAATTTGTTATAAATAAAAATTGTTTTATTCTCTTCAGTTAGCTCTTAACTCATCGTGATCTAGGTCAGCCACCAGTGACGAAATGGAAGTATCCGCTACATTCTGAACCATTTCATGTGCTGAGTATAAACGAATCAGGAAAATCACTGCTATAAAGACTCACCAAGACTTGTTTATCATTATTATTTTGAAAAAAATTTACTCTAATATAAATGCTGTTGCCTATACGAACACACACGTGTTTCACTGGGACTTGTTGCTTCAGTTTCGATCAGACTTGCATCTCCTAAATTTATTCTTCCGGAACTAAGCCGAAATATTCTCATCATTTTAAAAGGTAAATGAACAGCTGTTATTGTCTGCTAACTGGACTGTGCGTGATCATTTGCCGTCACCTGACCTATTCTTCGTCACATTCGGAGAGGAATCCACAAAATTCTACATTGCTTAGTGTCAAATTTTATCACAACCACACTCAAAGAGCAAGACATGCAATAAAGCTTCAGCCATATGAACAGAAAGCTGAACAACGGAACTGGTCAATATTTTAGGACGGTAAAAATAGGTCCAAACAGAAGGAAACGAGTGTGGGCAATCGATAGAATTCAGTAGACTTCTATAGCCTAAATTGACACATAAACTACCGTTTAGATCAGTGCCGTTTGTCAAATCCCTATTTCTAGATCGTAGACGGATAAAAACGATGAATGGATTGTGGTGCAAGCTAATATCTTCAAATTGAAAATTCAGGATCACGGATCACAGATGTACAAGAAGGAGAACCTTGATGACTCACATGTGACTAAGAGTGTAATGAAAGTGAAAATGAAACGAGGTAAAACGAAGTAAAAAATTATTTATGAATAGCAAAAATGCATAATACCATATCAATAATTAATGAAAAATTTCGGTAGCAAATACTATTTTCTTGCATTGCCCAACCAACTATCGCATATATCGTGAACGAGATGGAGCAAAAGACAGGAAAAAAATTGGTAAATGTCACGTGACAAGCATAATATCCATAATATCCTCTCATCACTAGCCTCTATTGCGCACATGAAATAAGTAGTCAGGTTGTGAATGTTTCCAACCGAGTCATAACCCTGGAGGCTAGTGCTAAGATGAGCAGGGTCTGTAGCCCGCAACAAGCTCGCGAAGATGGGTTGTGCTATATCGTGTAAATGGAAAATGAAATACACTCCGATCAGCTGCTCGTTGGCGTGGTGGGTAGCACGCTTGCGTTCTGCCCATTAGGCCCCGGGTTCGATCCCCAGCCATTGACCCCAGTTGGGTTGATTGATTCGCACTGCTCACGAGACCCAATCAGGTCGAAACGGTTATATTGTCTATCGTCTACTGTGCTGTAAACGACAAATTGATTAGAATAGACAAAGGGAATCATTGGGGGTGACCTATTCAAAAAATTATCGAAGTAACTCGTTTTAATGCTACTCTAGAACGAATCACCATTCTGTTTGTCATTCATTCCAGTCTCCTGATTCCCTTTCTGATTTTCTGATTTATTCACCGCAATATTCTCCGTCTCACTCGCTTGTTGTCTCACTTTTCACAATAACCACTTCCCGTTTTCTGTTACAAATGTTCCCACCTGCCCAGATCCCATACCAAGCAAAATCGATGTTAAATTTGATAGATAACTTTGTGATCGAGAGGTTTTTATCCTTGGGTTCTACTTGTGCGGTTCCAGATTCGACGCTCAGTTGGCTCGATGGATTTTCACCTCCGATGAGACCCGACCAGGTCACAATATCTGTTTCGTGCTTCCCAGATTTTCATTTCACAAGTGATTCGGTCTCTTCATGATGAAACTCACCATATAGTCAAATCATCTCCTCCGTCACGATCAAATAACTCTCCTGGGTCGCTTAGAAATGTTGAGATACTCATACGTGTTCATGTTGCACTGCCATACAACATCAAATTCATAATGCTGTGCACTGTACCAGAAAAAATGCGATCCAGGATATCCCGCACCGGCTTATTTGACTCGATAAAAACCCTCACTGCAGAAGCAAAACGAAGTTCGAAGGATTTTTTCGACACCAGTATACGTTCGGTCGCTGACCTCGTGAAACAAGTTCCCTTCTAGTTTACGTGAATATATGCATCGGTCATGCGTCACCATAATTTCTACTGCTTCTTTCTCGACGGGAATTCTGACCGCTAGCATAAAATGTTTGTTGCGCATTTGGTTTTCAGTTACTCGTGAGTAGTACATTGGGACAAAGCGATTCATTTGACTTTGATATTGCGGTTTGGTGAACTCTGCCATGCGGCATCAATCGCCTGAATGTCCGATTAAATGTCATAAGGATATTGTATCACTGCTTACAACCAGAGATTTCATACACAGACCCATACTGTACTCTGTTACTAACTAGTAGCTAGCTCACTGACATAAAAGGAAACCAGTTAAAAGTGTTAACGTGCGTCGTATCCAGAGCAAAGAAAGCATGAGATTAAAGAACGGCAGGCACCGCATACCTATTTCGATCTTGTTTGATTTCATCAGTCGTGCAAATCAACCGAAGCATTCAAAGACGATCCGAGATCTCATGTGTATAATACAAGCACATAATGCACATGATCATCGAACAGCTGATCAGAATGTCTCACTTTGTCCACCAACAACAGAGCTCAAACTAGTTTTTCGGGCTTGTTGCGAGGACCTAACCGCAGCAATCGGAAACGTGTTTGTTTTTATCAGAGAACCAGCACGTTCACATGTGGGGTGATTTTACCATATTTTTTCGCAAGTGTTACCACAAGATCTGTTAATACGCTTACTTCACGTTTGCATCGTTACTATTTCATCCATTCTCAGGACCCGCACTACGGAGACGTTCATTTCTATACGTATTCGGGAAATTTGTGGTCAGAGCGTAGTTATCCAATCACTCGATTTACCTCGGAATTCGGCATGCAATCACTTCCCAGTCCGTTAGCATGGAATCGTTCCTTGCGCACTGATTCCATCCAGGGAGCAGATTGGGATATTAATGGACCATTGGTTGCACATCGACAGCATCACAGTTTGGGCTTGGGACTGTTCCAACTAGCAGTGGAACATCTCGGAGAACCAGTCAAAGTTTCGGATCCCGTTATGCAGTACAGCAGGTGAGCAGCTGTTTCACAGACCCTGGATTATGCATGTCCAAAGGGGTGGATATAATATACTGCGATATTTTGAAGCTTACTGATCGGCTTCTACGCACATTGTGTAACGAGAAGGCGAGCTGGCTGGGGAAAACTTCTGTTGAGCCAACTCAAAAGCAAGCAGTGCAGGCGTTCGATTATATACAGTCAATTCTCAACAGAGCGGTGGGATAATTCATTTCTCTTTCTGTGGGTCATTCCTTGTTGGTTTTGGTGCGCACTTGGCATGTACATTGCCTCTTCTTCCGCGTGCCATTCCGACTGGTTTGACCCGATCGCGGTGCGAGATACGTTGATCGACAGCTCCAACGTTGTGGCATTCGGTGGGTATTTTTCCCGTTAGCTGCAGATTGTTTAACGGGCTGTAATTGTCGATTCGCTCGTTTCGGGTGGCAGTCACCTTTGTCCCGCGAGGCCCTTCCCGCCACTGCGTCTGCGCGTCTGGTCGGATAAGCCCCATTCTTGATTCGGTCGCTAGTCAGGACTCTCTTTGTACTGCCTTCCATCACAATTGGATATATGTTAATCTCTTTGCAAGTTTCCTTCTTGGTTAAGGGTAATAGATAACCCTTTGCAAAACAACACTTGGAGAACCCTGGATAAAGAGAAACTTATTTATAGCTTTTTTTATATCAGACTGAAATGTGAGCCGTGGCGTGTTTGTGATGGAATCAAGTTTCTACTCGATTTTCTTCCTCGAAATCAGCCTTAATGTACAGAGTAAATCCTGCTGACCTGCAAGTGGGAAACAACTACCGTCAACTTTTCGGTTGAATAAAGTGATGTGAAAATTAAACAACGGTTAGATTTTTTTTGCATTCACTTTTCTGGAATCCATGAAAATGTGATGTAAGAAACCTATCCGTGTTTACTTGAAACGAAAACGCCCCGAGCCTGGGTTCTCTGACCACACAGCGAGCACTTCCAGTCTGCCGTTTTTGTGCCGGGTCGGTAGGCCACACATGCAGCAAGGGATGGTGGAACACAGGAAATAAATCTCAATCCCAGTTTGTTAGATAATTATGGTACATATTTATTTACCAGATTGCATCATGAACACAAATTTTGGCTACGCAGTCCCTTCGAATAATCGCTCCACATGATGAAGACTGTTTCCTAAAATTCTCCATAGAGCTCCTGGATAACGTACTAATGCTGCCATGCATTTTTTTAAAATGAGGTTTATTAAAATTTTTGACTGGCACTTCTACATTTTCACTGGAAAAAATTGTGTATTAGCACGTTGAAAAATAATTGGCAAAGCACTAGTTCTATCAAGTTTTAGCTTTCTTTCTGTTCAGTGATAGCTCAGTGTTATTGTTGCCAGATAATGTGTGTCCATCTTTTGGAGCAAATTTCAGATTTTATCGATACAAATGCAATACTCATTTTAATTGTTTAAATATTTATACTTAATTAGCACAAAAAGTGCATCCAGAAATTGCATCTCTTTCGTAAATGAGATCAAAATGTTTAACTTCACTTTTGGTCTACACTAGAAGTGATAAAGTGGATTGAGATCGATGAAAATGAAATAGTCTTATTTGCGGAGAGGATTAACCAGCTGCAGGTATGAACTACGGTCAGATTGTAATCCATATGTATGGTGATACTAGTATGAAAAGGACTGGTCCCTCTTCCCCCCAGCCACCCACCCCTCCTCCCCCTCCCACTCACCTTAACAAAATGGATTTCTTTTCACCTTTGAACAATAACCAAGGTTGATTTGGTATGCAAAAACCGCAATTGTTTTCAAACTGTGCCCCCCGGATGGCTGTTGATGTTGACGGCCTGTACTGGCCTTAGCTGTTGCTTAAACGAACTTGAACACACACGGGTGGATAGACAATTATCACTGGATCAATTTGAGATTTAGTTGCTGGTCTGGCGATCGATAAGCCTTGGGGAAAACTAAAGTTGGACTGAAACCGACTTTTGTAAAGTATGCCTGCCATACGACATATCCTAGACACAGCCATTGGGAAAGTTCATATCAACTGGGCTTAGACAATGAATGACGTGACCCGCGAAAATAATTATAATATATCACCATCACAAACCACAGCAAGTTGATCCGATCTATGACTGTTGGTTTCACGTCGAATTCAGAACGGTTGAACTGCACCTGGATCGCTTGATATATAACCTGAACGGTGCAAGTATTCATGAGTCAGAACATTTCAGACCGATAATAAAGGATGCTTGAGAATTATCTATTATGTTCTGTCTAGACGTACAACTAACAAGAAAGCCTCTTTCTTAGCCCCCAATAATAATACGGGAGAGGGGACACGACTGGAGAACGACAGCCGGAATGTTTAATCTATGACCTTGACGGTGTATGCAAAAATAAGTGCGGAAAGACGTGTTGACGCAACTAATCAGATCGTGTCCTTGACACTCTGATTGGTCAACCGGATGACATCTGTCTGATTCGTCCTAGTCATCCAATCCGAAATCGACTAGCCCTGGGTGTCGCGAGCGCGCTTGTGGTATGACGCGGATCCGTGTGTGGATTGACGGGTNTTGACGGGTACTGTGAGCTTCGTCCTAACATTATCACCACCTTTGGTCCGTCTATTCTGGTATTATGTGTTCTCATGTTTGCAGGCATTGATTGCTTAGAGTATTCTCTCTTGAACTTATTTTTCCTAGCGTGGTTTCCACTATGATCCTCAATGTCCTCATGTTTATTCGGTAGCTAGGTCTCCACTCTTTGTTTATGTCAATACCACCTCCGTCGACGTCCGTTTACTTCAAACGGTGCATCAGTTCAGTGTTATACCTTTAATTTCCCAGATTTTCGCTTTTAGATACTCTCGAGTGTAGTCAGGTTTAACTAACGGTGCTTTTGAGGAAATAATATATCTTTGTTTACCTAACTAGTCATTGATCTTTCTATCCACCAGATTATCCAGACTCACCGTATATCAGTCACAGGATCGCTTCCGTAGGCCGTAAGGTAGCATTCATCTCTGAACATGAGTCAGAAAATTGCTGAGTATTAGCTTTAACAAAATAGACATGCGTATCAAGTTAAAAGAATACAAATGCTAGCAGAAATGTCGTATTTTTATTATATTTTCAATGAATCAATGAAGCTGTTGTCCAGCTATCTAAAGTGGAAAATTACATTGCTTACATTGTACTACAATGTCTTTCGTCTTTCTGAGTAATTTAGTGAACCCTATCGATCATAGTTTTTCCTCTACAAATCGGTATCCTCGCTCAGTTTTATGGTAATTCGCTCTTATATACCCTTTCTGATCAGATGGGCCTATTTGACACAAGTGAATCAACTAATGTCTTATCGAACGCACATCAATCTCTTGATGAGACACCAGTGTCAGTTAGTTAGTGCTGGCGGGTTGGTGGAACCGGCGGTGGAACGAACAAGTATGGGCGCAATCTACTGGCAACTGAACGATGTGTGGTCTGCACCAACCTGGTCCACTTTGGACGCAGCCGGTCAGTGGAAAATGGCTCATTACGGTGCAGTTCGTGAGTGTTTTGCAAATTTTCCCACCGGTCGTCTTGTCGCCCAGTTCCTTTCCGGAATGCTCCAAGTTGATTGGATCCCACCTACCCTACCGGAAAGTATGATCACCCGGCCAGATACATTGGGAATTCGGTGCATGACGATAGAACGGTTCCAAACTACGAATCAATGGGATCAGAACATCGCTTGGGAGTCACAAAATATTTCCTGTCCGGTCCCAATTATGTACACCTCAATCAACGATGTGGTTAACCGTTGCAGGATGACTAATGTTAACCGGAATCTTGCATTCATTCACTTTTTCATGATCCGTGGCGGAAAAGTAGTACCAACTGGTGGGACAATTTCACCATTCAATCTCCCCGCAAAAATTCCCTTTTGGCCAGTACAATCTGGTTATAATGGTATCAAGATTGAGGACGTAAAACCGATAGATACCGTGCCAAATTCATTACAGTGGCCAATGCCATGGAAACCGTCCGATTCGTTCCAACTGCAAGTGAGATCTAGTTCGCCAGAGCTGTTTGTTTGGCTCGAACTGCATCCCAGCTTGGATGTTCAATATTGGTTTGATGAGAACGCCTTTCATCTGCTCGACTCAACCAGTCGGACAGTGTATTTGTTTGTCCTGACCGATCATCCAGTCAACGTATCACAAATCAAGTCCGCTCTAACATTCCACTCACTTTCTACCATGCGCCAACCAAAAGCGATTTCGGACAGTGGGTTGTTGTAACTCAGCAAAACATGGCTTTTATACATTGACGATTGCATGATCTGTGTTTGTTTTGTCTAGTAAAAATATGCAAGGATGATTATTTTACTTTATAAAAAAAATCACAGTTATTCGTTTTCTTCTTACCTCAGTCCGGAAGGTGGTGACTGAATGTAATTTGTAAATTTAAACCGAGTACCACACACCACTAATCCGTATCGTACCTGTTGGCATGATCATCTGCCCTTGAAAACAAACCCAGTTCGTAATCCCCATATCCTAAGACATTCTCAATTTGCATTTGGCTTGGTGAACGGTACAGGCATTGTGCTCTATTTCCAGTTTGAACGTTAAACATTTGGTCTGCTGAAAGTGCGGGCCTATTGTTCCAAATAGCACTGATTCGGTGCGTTAACTATTTGTCCTAGAAGAAGATTAGTTGAATTTTGACGCTATTTTTGAAGTACAATGGGGGCAAGATGGACCTAATCAATTCCGAAAACTTGCTCGAGTTCACTGGTGGGTTTCATTTACTTCATCGTCAAAGTAATTTTGGAAACAAGATCGCACGTTACTTGACCTTATACAGTCTTGTTTTGTTGCCAAAACACCTATTTTTTTCACGGACCTGGACAATGATTGGGCAGTTAGTTAATAGGACAACCGAGGTTCCTCTTCCACAATTTTCCACTATGCTTTTAGAAATTATGCTTCAGTGCTCCAAAAATTTAAAGAAACCGAACCTGGCCGGTTTGCGGTCCGAATGGCACTGAATAAATAACACCAAAGTAGTTAATTTAATCCAACTTATTGTTGTAAACTATTCGTTAAGCGTGCCAAATGAAAGTGAGTTTAGAGTTTCTACTATTATGTGACCTGAATTTTAACTGACTGCTTCAGGGTGGTATAATGTGTACACAAGAATAAACATCTCCAAATCCAAAGACAACTGTTCTGTGAAGTAATCGAGTTTTTTGCACCCGCTTTGGGTGCAGTACAGAAAAATGCAGTTGGATACAAATGTCTGTCTGTTGTTCGCAGTTACCGGATGAGTAAATGAACCTAAAGTTGTGCTATACGGAAGCCACCTAACGTGTTCATTCTGGGTCAGAAAAGACACACGGGCTGTTTGTAGTTCTTCCTGCGCGATTAATGAAGCGAACAAAAAGCAACTACAAATGTATACAACATCATGGATTGGTCAGTCCTTGCGAATTCAGTCGAAAGCCTCATCAGCCACATGTGCCCCGACGAGATCGAGTTGATATTATTGATATGGTTTTGTGCAGCCTGATTGAGGGAATCATAAAACCACGATCCGAGCTACGTGAGGTTTCACCGGTCTGCATTGATCGTGCATTGCTAGGATTTCGCCATAACAAATTTTGAATTCACCTTTTGACTACTGAAAACTATTTCGGTAAGCTGTTTCAAACTTTTGTGTGAAAAAATAAACCACTGTCAAAAACATTTGCTCTGTCGGGAATGACAGTAAGATACACTACATAATATGCGGTGCCCACTAGAAGCGTTCACACGCGGTGGTCAAGTGGTGTTCGGTCACCAACTTGTGACCCGGTATTCCCCGATTCAAACCGCTCCCGAGCCGCCTGTCTTCTCTNGTCTTCTCTATTTCTGTATTTTCCACAGGCGGCTTTTAAATGGTCGCAGCCCCCCCCCTCTTTCTGAAAGTTGACTGTGCATTTTTATATTGAAAAAATAGAAAAAGGAACTAAAACAATAGAAATAGGTTCCTCATGGCTACATTTTAACTTCGTCTTCACGTGCTTAAATGCGCGAGGTCAGAAACATGAAACAAGCCTGCAAAAAGGGGTTTCACAACAAATTGTAGAGAGACTGAGTGAACAAAAAAGCGGATCATCGGCAGCTAGGTGTATAGTACGCTTGCATTCTGACTATGCGGCCTCAAAATCATTCTCCGTTTTTTGGTCGATTGATTTGCGCCTCTTTCTCGGTGTGGACAACAACAATAGTCGCAAAATTTAATTGACAAGACGTTAGTTTTGTACTGTGAGTAATTGAATATTCAGATTTTTCCATGTTTCATAAAAACAGTTTCCCACTTACCAGTAGTACATGACATCCCGTGAGAATGCATACAGTCCACTAATCGCAGTGAAATGCGTGGCTGTTACCGATACGCTTATCTTTATAGATAACCTAAATTTCCTACAGTGAATTTCTGAGACTTGATGATCACTTCCAAGCTCATGATATATATAGAGCTTAGTTAAAACTGAAAACTGGTGGTAGATAGAACCTGTTCAGATGTTGGCGAATTGATCATCTGAATCATCTCTAACTGTTCCGTTAAGCAGTAAATATTATCATTAGCCGCGTTGCGACAACAGGACAGCAAATACGATAGCTCGACTTTCGTTGTTCATTTTTGTCCGAAGCACAACGTTTGAGCTGCTAATCAATCGAACATTCTAGTTGAAACGCACAACTTTTTTCACTTTGATACAGCGTCGTGTTTTCGTCTATTCTGGCATATGGCACTCCAGCGACCGGTTAGTTGGCGGTCACACAAGCTTGCTCCATACCCCACTTTCGAGTTAATTTAGAAACGATTACAGTTGCCGTAAAGGATGGATAATTTCAGATCCGAAGTGAAAGTGTGGTACAAATGCATAATTATGCCAGAGTCCTTTCTATGGCAACTGACAACACCGCGACCATCCACAGCTGATCACCCGGGAAAATTCGTTGCATACAAACTCGCATCAGTGTGATAAAGTGTTCAGTATGAAACAGATTAAGCTGGATAGAATTCGCAGTTTAATTTGAATACCCCTCCCCCGGAGATTATCTCTCAGTGTTAGTGAAATGGTGTACAAATGATATATTGGACAGTAGTCGACATATCTCAGTCAGGCACATACCTATCGATTTCTCGCCGATCATCGTTCATTCTTCATTTCCACACACACAAACCTCAGTTCAGCCGATCAACTACATAAGGACAGACTTCAGCGAGTCGGCGGGTATACAGGTGTCGATCGAACTCATAAGTCTCTCTCACTACAGAAGTATACTTCAGCCCCAATTGGAGAGAACCTTGATTCGAGAATGGTCGCAGTAAAAAGTTGACTGATTGAAGATTTTTCTTAAATTTGGAATCTGAAGGACGATCACGTACAAACTAATAACATCTTTCCCACAGCACTACTACCAGGCAAACTTGAGCTGAAATTAAAAGATCTAGCATTACACCCTCGAAAGGTGGCCGTTCAAAACACTTACTTAATACCCGTTCATCTAAATAAAATTGCCCTAAAATGTAGCATCTGTGAAAAGCGGCAATTTATCAATGTTTCCACGTTCCAGTTAACTGCCCCCCACCATGAACACTGATTTTTCATTGGTCCCAGCCGTATCCATTTGATTGGAGAACCTTCATGGATCAGTCGCTGCTGTCTACTTAGTATCATAAATACGAATTATTGATTTTCCATCGGTATGAATTTGTTTTATTCTACTGTTGTTTGTCGTTCATTTTTGTAAAGGAAATATATCGTTGCCGATAATTACTTAGAGCCCCGCCTCAGTGAGAATAAAAACGACAGCATAGTTTTCACGGCTTTTGTGAACAGAGATCATGTAAGGACGAAAATGTTTGTGATAACCAAAAGAGAGCACTGGATAGCTATTTCATCCTGTTTGGGACTCGCCAGCAGTGCGTAATTTTTGTGTCCCTGTCAGCAGGACCCAAACCACACTTCTTCGGGTTGGGCTAATCTAAACATTCATCATCTACATTGATTGAGCCATTCGCACAAGGTGATAATCGTCGACTGTTAACTCAAGAGTCCCAGCACAGGTTCCGAATACATGGACACAATCACACAGCTTCAATTCGATAAATTTCCCGGAACCGTAAGTTGCTCAATAAGATCTTAATGGGATTACCTTCAGTAAGTTCATATGTGATGTAAAAATACGAATTGGAAATAACTCTTACAAAACCACTTACAGACGTAGTCCCTTGTCATTGTTGTTGTTCATATGACTACGGCAGTGGCGAGTTATTGCGTGAATCAAAGAGGAAGAAAATTGTTCGAAATGCACGCGCGCGCAAGCGGGAGAGTATGAAAGATATTTGTCCTCAGTTGAACACCGTCGACATCATCAGCTATATTCTAAAGTGTTTTCCGGTCACGAGGTGATTGAGATTTTCCTTTTCCTGTGTCTGATTCCAGTCAACTCCCCCCGGTTTGTCTTCTCACCCGTTCCCCCGCCCGAGAAAAACCTTTACGAATCATAATCATTTTAGGGAATTATAAACACATTATTTTCCCCTTGAAGAATACGGAATAATGATGAATGTGATGGAGGGGGAGGTTACCGAGTATTGGGAATAGTGAAACACTGACCGTGAACAATGTACATCTTCACATTCCCATTCATCCATCCCCAGGTACCAACTCAAGCACACACACACAGAAAGAGAGGGACAAACATGCATTGTTGCATGTGCATAACAGCTTATTAACGGATTAATTAAAATATGGTCAGATTGAGCATTTTCTGATGTGATGTTACAATTCTTCTTGATAGATCGGGTGGCGGGGGATGAACCATGTTTCGGATGTGTGCACAAGAAAACCCTGTACTCTTTCGACTATAGTTTGGCATGCGTTCTTTGTGCAAACAAACCCCATTGAATTCACCATAATCCCTTTCATTTGCACCGCACACACACACACACACGCACGCACACACACATACAGGTGACTACTGAAAACGCTTTGATCAAGGTTGCGTAAAATTGAAACAGCAACCTGAGGCGCGTATTGTTGAAGAACTGACGCATTTGTCTGATTTCCCTCGAACGTATGAGGTTGAGCAACAAGAAAGAAGTGTTAAACTGAGAAAAGTTGACTTTAGTTGTTCTGCCTAGTTACGCTTTCCATGTACAGGAAACGTTTAAATCCCCATCTGCAATGCTTGAGGATATGCGTTTGCTACCGGTGGCTCGCAGCTTCTGAACAGTGAGA